GGCTAGTTCTGCTCTCTCTGGGAGAGACTAAGACTAAAAGGGAAAGCGGAGATTGTCGGTAGCAAAGAGGAAGCTGAGTAGAGCTGAGTAGTTTCAGGGAAATCAGAGGTTTGTTAGCTTTCTGTGTATCGATGTATAGACAGACACTAACTACATTTAATTTCTCTAGACTGCATAGAATTTATATGGATATTCTGCATAATATATATCATCCTAATGGGAGCCTGCACTGGGTGGTTGGGCCGTGCCATTTCAATAAACTGTATCATCTCATCCTGGGCATGAGAATTACTTTGTAGGTCCTAATCCTGTACTTCATTACCAGACAACGCTTTTCCTGCTTGGAAAGAAGGAAATATGGTGAAGCGTCTTGAGGCTGAGGGTAATGAAATAGGCTAGGAATAAAATTAACTGGATAACTGATACAGATGTGTCAGTCACACTTTGCGCCAAAGCCACTGCTGATCGCCGAGAGATACCTGTTCCATCAGGCATTGAGAAGAGGTAGGAAAACAATTTTCAATTCATGGCAGTCTTTTAGAGGCCTGCTGCACACAGCAAATTTGATGCTGTGATAACTGACACTGTTTGTGACAGACAAATCTGTGGCTTGTGTAGTGAAGCAGTTCAGAAGTGCCTGCTGTCGCATACCAAAAGGCTATGGAAATGGTACTTGCTAGGAAAATGTTGTAAGAGGATCCCAACTACCAGAAGCATCTATGAAAGGCCATAAGATAACAGCAAGATTTTTGAGCATAACAGGGAAGTTTTTTTTTTCCCCGAAGGCACAACTGGCATTTAATGGCCTGTTTCTATTGGAAGCTACTAGGTACAGAAAAGAGGATTGCTGAGAAACAAGGTGGTATCAGGAAAACTGATACTCCTGCACCAAAGTATAAAGATAAACTGAACATGTCTGAAGGAGAAGGAAACAATTACAGGAAAGGCTGTTAGTAGAAAACTGCTGGGGTAGGGCAAACGCATCCAGTGCGACAAGTCTAGCATAAATATAGAGAACAATCTTGAAGGTATGACCTTGCCCATCCTTACCAGGTCAGCCCTTTCCTAGATTCTGCTACTGGGAAGATAACCACGTTGGATGGAGAATGGAGGAGTTGCTCTGTCTCTAGCATTGAATACAGGATTATAGTAAACGCAGTCCAGTTCCTTAGTTCTCTGCAGAGCAGTGGGGCTTTTTCAGGAGTTGGGGATCGTGTTTTGAATTATGTGCTATGCGATGGGCTTGCAATATGACTCCACGATGAAGAGCAGCTGGTTGCGCCAAATGAATCAGATGGCATTTGTAATGATGCACCTGGATTATCTAAAACTCATACAAAGGACAATGAAATAAATCTGGTCTGTAACATGTATGCTACCTGTAATGCAAGTGCGCATGTGTGAACAGGCAAACTGAAGAGCATAAGAAACGCTGCTAAGAGAAAATTGTATCTCGAGTATGACTTTTACTACGTGAGCCTTTTGGGGAGACTCCCTTGCTGGAGGAATGCCCTGCTGCCCGTGGGGCAGGGCTCTCGCTGGCTGTCACCGTGCGAGCAGTGACAGTCGGCAGCGTGGCCGAGTCACAGTGTACACTTTGCACTTTTAATAATCACCGCAAGTAGTACTAGCTCTTTTCCATGTGTGGGTAAACATTTTCTCTGTAGCTGGTGCCAGGCCAGTATTGTAGCCCACTGCTCACAAATACCTTTGCTTGGTGGAGACCATGTCTGCTTTAAGCTGGAATTAAGGATCAGCTGAGACTTCAGTTCCTAAGTCACTTTTAAATGGGACTTAGACTTGTATGTCAGGGAGGGATTTTGGAAAATTGCATCCTATGACATTTTCAATGGGTGAATTCACTGGATCTTTTTCTTTTTCCTGCCCTGAGATACACGAATAACGCATGTGTATGTGAGAGCTACCCCACAGACACAGCTGTGCCAGCCGAGAATCTGGTGTTTCTCTTCTGCTATGACACCACGCTAAGTGACTCAGACCTAATAGTCCCTTGAAAAGAGTGGCCACCGTGAAAATCCTGTGTTCAGCATCCCACACTGTCCTCGAACAAAAGTCAGAGACCTCCCATTTGATTCCATGTAGTAATTAGTTGCAGTGCCCCAGATATGGGAGAGATTAATCCCATGGCTAAGTCTAGAATCGGAGGTCATGCATTCTGATTTTGTTATCAAGAATCACAGTAAAAAAGTTCTTCTTGCAAAGAATATCTGCTGTGTATGGCTTAATACAGAATAAATTGCTTAAAAATACAGGAGCAGTATTCTTCTGTCAGGAACTCTGTAAAAGAAAACACAGTAGAGTTAGTGCTTGCTGACAGTGTGTTTGATATGTCGTTCACTCACATATCTAAATTCCAAATGTCATGGTAAAACAACATTAATTCATTCTCCCATGATGTACTGAACTGCTGAAAATCATTATACATTTGTGAGACGCGTGCCCCCCCCCCCATCACCCTGTGGTGGTTGTCTTGTTGAAGCCTGGCTTGCAGGTACCTAGGGTGTCTTTCATAAACTAGTGAGCACACTGTACCTCCCACAAAGCTAACCAAAATCTCGGTAGCTCCTGAGCGCTTGGTAACAAAACCTGTCTGAAACATGCTGCGTGTCTGGCAAAACGAGCGGCAGCTCTTACGAGGTCCTTCCAACCTGGTTGTTTCTCTCACTGCTGTAATTCTCCATGCACACACACAGCCATGCCCATCCCAGGATTTTCTTCTTTCCATGTAGGCCTTCCATGTGGTGACCGACTATTTTATTTTGGAGCCCAAGATCATGGAGCCAGGTTAGAGGATCTCCAAGGGAAGTTTTAAAAGTGTTCAATAAAAGAAGGAATGCAGCAAGAAAAGAAAGCCCTGACTCAAATAGCATTATTCTCTGTCCTTCATCCCTTTGAGGTTCTCCTGCCTTCCCTGTCTTGTGTGTGACCTCCCTTCTCTCCCAACCAGCCGTCTTTCTTTTTTCAGTCTTCCTCCTGCCCCTCACCCTCCTTGTTCACTGGTCTCCCTTTAGGCTTTACTAGTGATCTCCCCCTCCCAAGCTTTCTCTCCCTCAGTTTTTCTGATTCTCTAACATAAGACAATTGAATGAGGCCAGACTCCTAAGCCTTAGCTGGGGGTGTGGGGTGAGAGGGAAGAGGCGTTAAGATTTAATGATATTGCCTCTTTAAGGAATCCCTAATTCCTAACACCCATCTCCTCCCCCACCTGAGAACCAATTAAAACTCAATGAATTCAAGTGGAGGCTTTTGTGCATCACATGTGCTTGACTAACAAAGCCTTCTCCATGCTGGAATAAAAGCTGCTATTCAGCAGCCAGTTTGTTCTAATTCAAATCACTTCCACTCCAGCATCCTCTGCCTCCTCGGTCCTCAGCGTTCCCAGGCCTGCCTGCCCTGCCCAGCACTGCGCTCCACCTCGCCAGGGCCACCTTGCTCCCCGGAGCCCAGAGCTCCGTGGGGTTAGTGGGGAGCCCGCGACATTTATGGTCCTACCTCTGGGCAGTCTGCTGGGCTGCGAGGTGACCTTCTGTCGTGGAGGTCCAGGAGCTCCAGCCTTGGTGACTGTCTCCCGTGGGGGCTCTCGTCAGTCTTTGGGAAACAGCTCACGTGTGCGGAGTCCTCAGTGCGGAGACAGAAAACTACCTTGCGCATGGGCAGAGTTCGACCTTCCTTGAAACCTGTGAAAAACCTCTCCTTTCTTCTTTGCTGTGGGGGTTACGCAGATGTGGGGACTCCTGAAGCAGAAGGAGAATCACAAAGCCCTCAAAGTCTCGGCGAGTTTAAATAGTTTGCCCTTGTGCTTTCAGCAGCCTCAGTGTATAAATTGCACTACCTAGAAACTTGAGGATAACTCTGTCCTCTGCCATGCTTTGAAAATGAAAAAGAGGCTTGAACGAGGTAGTCTGGGAGAAAAATATATTTCATTCTATTAACTGATGTCACAGACTTAAAAACCTCACTGCAATATTTTGCAGCTATAGATCTGTCTTTTGGGTGATTTGTGTAGGGAGGCAATTCTCTGTCCAGATGTTGGTCAGGCGATCTTCCTGGTGTAAAGCACTATCTGCTCAGAGCTTCTGTCTGTCCTTACTGATCACAGTGTTACCTGAGCTGCTCACAAAACTGTACAAGTTACATTAGCCGGGCTCTCTTTTCTCTGTTCCCCTAATCTCCTATTGGCAGAGGTTTTTTTTTTTTTTTTGGCTCTTGTGAGAAATCTCTGGGAGAAGCAGGTTGCATGTTTCACTCTGAAGGCAAGGAGATTTGTCCTCCCTCTAATCTCTCCAGAGAGCGAGCTCCAGTGTTGTGGGCCAGCTGCCAAGAAAACTGTCTGCTCTGCTGCAGAGCTGCGGACAGTACATGGCAGTTCCTTTGGTCCTGGAAAATGAGGCTGTCTTAGGGAGTCAGGAAGACGAGGTCTCTTGGGTAGCTGGGACCCGTCCCACAAAGAGCTCTGGAAGTTAAGATGAGCTCTTTGAAGCTGTTTTGATATTCACGGAAGAACCAGTGGTGAGAGGAGAGTTGGGGGTTTAGGTGCAGTTAGTGACCTGTGTTGTTTGACAACTGGGGTATTGCGTTGTGAACTCATTTGAACGTCTGTAGGGCTGGTTGTTCTCTTTCTGCGGCAGTGTCTTGAAGCTGTCAAGCATGGCAGGGAATGAGTATTCATGCAAATCAGACAGGGCATGTTGAAGCCTTCTAGTCAACATTTATGAAAGAGAGATTTGAACTCTAACATCACTGTTTGAACATCCCTTAACAGTCCTATTTCTCACTACACATCTGACTCTAATCCCAACTGTTGACAGCAACTAGAGCTGAAGATGTGTTGGTGCTCCCAGAGAGTTTGCTCAGTCCTATGCTTGTCTGTCTTATTCATGTCATTGCAGATTTGGACGTTGAACGCTCCTTTACTGTCAAAAGACTTCTACTTTTTAGTAAATCAGTACAAATTTTTCATCTGGCCTTTTTTTTTGTAGTGCAAGTTGGCCCCCTGTCACAGTGATGTGCATAGGTGAAAACAGTTGTGCTCTGGGTAAGTATGCACAGCCGAGTTTTCTTTGGCAAATTCAGTCCTATGTCTACATAAATGCAAAGGAGTAGGGGCCCTAAAGACACGCAAAACACACTGGGCTCTCAGAGACTGACCCGCAAATTATAAAGAACAGTTCTTTAAGTGACAAGTTAATTTCAGGCAGTGTTATGTGATATCATGGGGACATCAATTTCAGAGTATAATCTGTGTCTGTGAATATGATGAGGGGGAAGAAGATAGGATCTGAAGTTGTTGGATTGAAAAAATACTTTATTCCCTGTGAGTTAGAGAATGGTGACTATTCAAAGGACGTTAAAAAGTATTTGCCTTTACAGCTTTCAGGTTATTTTCTATAGCATGTTCTGTCTAAAGATCTCAAAGCCGTCTTTGAGGTCAGGAAAAAGATCCCATTTTTCAAGTAGAAAAACAGAGTTTCTTGCCCCAAATCACTCAGCCAATCTGTAAGAAGAGGTAAGAGCACGAACACCTCCTGAGCTTTACTTAACCGATCAGTCCTCTTTCTCAAGTCCTCCTGCAAAGTATCTCAACTGTGTTGTAAACTCTTTAAGGCAGGAGGGCTGACAACTGTGTTGCGCCTGCTCAGGGACTGGCACAGCATAGTTGGTCCCTAGATGTTTTTGTAATAAACATGCTTAATTGATGGGAACAGCAGACCTGAACTCTTGAGCTTGCGTGGCTTGGTGGGTAGAACAAGCCCTTCTTTAGTGATGCAGCTGAGCACTCCTTTTATTGAACACTCTGACCTTCGTCTCTGGGGCTCTGCACTTCGTTCCTGTTTCTCGTTAGTGAAATGAGTTTGATGGTCTCAGACCCTTCCTTGCTAGTAAATGGTTTCTACTTCAAAACAAAGTGCAGTTAGTTTGGCGGGAGAGTCCCAGGTCTGACCTAAAACTAAATTACAGCTGACCCTGAGACAGCGAGGCCCCTCCAGGTCAGGGACAAGGGCATTGTCAGGACACCGGGAGCTTGCACTGTAATTAGCAGCAAAGGTATCAAATACCTCTGTTTCTAGCATTCCTGTCCTTAAAGCAACACAAGCATAAAATCTCCAAATTTCCTCTGCTGCAGTCCTGCTGAAACAAACTCGTATTGATTTGCTTTTTCTCTGTTCTGCAGTAAATCCCTCCCCATCTTAAACTGACTCCCACAATCCCTTGTTCCCCCAGCATCTGGGAATGAATTTACCAGACACTGCATTGCTTTCAGGGCTCCAGAATGACCAACGAACCTGAGCACGTTTTGCCTGACTAGCAGCAGTGTGTAAGAGGAGCTTTCCCACTTCAAAAATTTGCTTGGCTTCAGAGCTGCTTTCCCAGCAAACATCCCTTCTCTCCCCAGGTTTCTTCAAACACCAGAGAGGCTTTTTCAGATTCACCCTACAAAATGTAGTTTGTTTTAAATACATTTTACAAGATATCACAGGAACCTGATAACTTCCTAGGTTTGAAAAATGTTTGAGCTAGCTTTCTTGGCTTCTAGCAGAGGCCACTGAGCAGAGGACAGGGTGGGTTTGCAGCTGAGACCCAGGGAGGCTATAGATTCTCTGAGCATTATGCGATTGAGCTAGTCACCTAGGCCAGCACATACAAAGAAATACTGATCTTGGGCACACACCTTGAGACACCACACACTTGTTTTTCAGAATTGCTGCATACCCAGGGCCTCCACAGGCCCTGTTTGGAAACAGGAACATTTATAGCATCTCCAGGTTTTCAACACAAATGCTCACAATCAATGGGAAGTTTTGAAAAATGGGGCTTTTACTGCCTCACTCTTTCCATCTGTCACAAGTGGGCAGTTTCCAAACCCCAAGGGCACTGGTGAAGTAGAGAACTTGGTGATCCCCAGAGCGGAAATGCTGGAGCAGGGCAGGACAGACTAAACAAGGCTTCCAAAAACACCCATGTAATCAGATTACAAGTCCAGTGAGTCAGGATGCTGCAAGCCTGAGTATGATCCCACTCTCTCCAGTGTAACTCCCCTCTTCTGCTGGCTCTAGAGCTGCGCCCATCACTCCTGCAAACAGGAGAGCCCAATCGTACTGTTCAGTCTGGCAGGTAGACGGAACCGAAAGTTTAAATTACAAACATTTAATTAGATTAACTTTTTCTAGGAGCCTAAAGATTTATGATATTAATGTTCCGCATTTTGATACCTGTATCTTGACAGAAACTTTGAATTGTACCTGTTACCGTTTCATTCCTATTTTTAGGAATAGTGTGTGGTTCCAATATATGTTGTGCTCTGCCACTGTGAGAGAGTTTCCCTCTGCCCCTCTGCATCCCCCCATTTTTGGCAGAGTGTCTCCACTTTGCTTACGTACCAGCTTTGTGCTGAAGAATGTCCTGGACAGCTACTTTGGAGGGAGCTGGTGGCTCGCTATTGTGGTGCCTTGGCCACCGGCCAGCTAGGAGCTTTGAGAGTACTGCTTGTGAATCTTTTCTTGCTCCTGGTGGGAAAAGAGGCAGTGACTCAGTTTACTTCAGCTATGAGGTCGCGTGGGCATGTAATAGGTGGGAAAGTTCTGTCCAGGACAGAAAAGTGGAATAAGGACCCTAATGTAGCAAAATCAGCCTTGAGGGAAATCCAGAGCAGGCAAAGGCGTGAAAAGATAAATGCTCAGAAGCTGTGAAAAGTGAGCAGAAGATACAAGGGCAAGAACAGACAAGTAGCAGCAGGAACAAAATATTTTCCACTAGATTATGAGCGGTGCAGAATCAGAGCATGTCTACAGTTAGAGGTCAGCTCCCTGGGTCTGTGGGCAGAGGGGAATCACTGTGGCTTGGGACCAAAGAACGGGTTTTGAGCCTTTTTCAGTTCTAAACTCAACATACTTAAAGGCTGGTTTAGGTTGTCACAGCTAGAGGCCTTAGCAACAATCCACTCATTTCACATGCCCTAGCCTGAAAGGATCAGGAGCCTATAAGCCTGAGTGAAGATGGTGTGCATGAAGCAGTGTGTCAACTCCCTGGAAAAAAAAACAAGAAAACCCCACGTCCTTCTCCAGGGGATATCGTTCCTGGCCCCAGAGCATCTGCTGTAGAAAGACAGGAGTTGTTCTTCTACGTACAACACCCGTTAGGTGAGTTTGTGCCGTGCTTGGTAAGGTGAGCATTGAATATTCTTCAACAGCAAACAGAAGAACTACCAGAGATGACTACAAATGCACTGGGTTCCCTGCAGTCTCTCTCTTTGGCCTCCCTTCCCCCATCCAGCAGGGAGGAGGCTTGGGCAGGGAGTTACTTGCACAAAGCAGCTAAGCTGCTCCTGCAGCCTGAAGAGGGGAGCTTTGCCTGGGAAGACACTGGTGTCTGTCTTGATTAGGATGTGATGCCTGATGTAAGTCATGTGACAAGTACAAACAAAATACCTTGGCAAAACCTTGAGGAACCAGGACAGCCTGAGCTGCTTAAGGAGATTTACAGCATGTATTTCTGTCCTGTGCACTTGCCTTGGTCTGAACCTTTCCTGTCTCAGGAGCTCCAGCATGCACCCTGGATTTTAAAGATGCCTCTTTTCTGCTCATTCCCCAAATGATCTCTAGACCGTCTCAATTTTGTTAAGTTTAACAGTGTAGCCCCAGTTGCTTTACACCATCACAGTACCAGAATGCTATAAAGGTGTCTTCTGGGAAACGCTGTTGGGATTTGTGGAGCAAAGGTCCCGTCAGCTTAGATTAGAAAATAATCTTGAAGAAATGGGAGAGTTAAAGGCCAGTGCGAGTGTTACAGCAGAGTTAGGAAGTCGCCTATGTCCTGAAAGAGAGGGGATGAAGAAACAGCTTCCACTCCCTCAGCTCCTCTTTATATGTTGGGTCGAAAGTTCCCCATTTGCTGCTGTCAATGCCTTTTCCTTCTGGGAGCTGCTCAGAGGCAGTGCTGGCACCCGGATGCTGAGCCTCCACCCAGCATCTTGGCAGAAGAGTCGGTCCTCCTTCTTCTGAGCCCTCCTCTCCTCTTCTTCCCCTGTTCCTTAGACTCAGCTGCCTTTACAGTGGATTTTAGAGGTCTTTGACATGGTGCCGACCTCAGCCCCAGATGAATAATTCACATGTGCGTCAGAACTGCGGAGGACGCACAGATCAACTGATAGTGCAGTGTCACGGAGCTCTGCCTGAGAGAAGTCGTTCCTGGAGGCCAGCAGCCAGGCTGCCGGGCACCCAGCAGTGCCACCGCCGAAACACCAGAAAGCTGGCTCCTCAGTTTTTTTCACTAGACCTTGGGATTTTCCTTTATAATACAGAAACCCCTTTTGTCTAAGATGCCTTGCAACCATTGGCTGGCAGATGCTCTCAAACCTGACCCAGGCGTTCTCTTGATAACACTATTTATCCAACCTGCTCCCAGATCTTTTCTCCAGGCCTGGCAATGTTTGATGCAGCCCAGCCCCAAGCTGCACCGTTCCTTGTCATGACACATCCCTGTGGACCGCAGCTTATAAACGTCTCCATTTTATTCCTGTCTCCTTCTCTAGCCTTTGTCTATGTTTTCCACACAGTGGAACTCCCCTTTCTATTGGACAAGCTCTCAAGTTTTGCCTCCTTTACTCCAAACTCTTTCTGTTGTTTCACCTAACGAGATGAAGAAATTGCAGAAACTGAAGATCAAAAGCAATGACAAGAGGTCACCTCTCTGCAGTAAGCAATGACACAGTATAACCTGATCACCAAAGAGACGTTTGTCTAATTTCTTCTTAAAAATCTTTATCGATGGGAATTCCTCAGCCTTCCTGGCCAACCTCTTCCATCTTAAGCTGTCCTCATAGTTGCTAAGTTTTTTTAATGTCTAACCTTAATCTCCTTCTCTGCAAGCTGAGCCAATTGTCCTATCCCCTATAAACACAAGGCACAGTTTAATCAATGTCCTCTTTAAAACAGTCTAGCACATTTGGTGCATTTCTGTTGCATCCTCGCCTCAACTTCTCTTTTCCCTGGTGGTAGGGAAATGGATCCCTCCATATCATCCCACTCTGCGCTCTGATCTTCTTGGTGAGGAAGGAAGAGCAGGAGACAATGCTCCACTTCTAGAGTGGGGAAGAGCCTGTTAAGAGAGGGCTGATGGTCAGGAGAGGTGCCTTTCGCACAGATTGCTGGAGAGGACCAGGGAGAGGTTAGGTAAGAGTAAAGATGGAATAGGACACAGACTGATTAAAGTCTGCAGCAAATGGTAATTAGGAAGTTAGGGGGAAGGTGGAGTCCAGACCACCTTTGAGGGGAGAAGTCCCATTTTTCACTTCTGCTGTTGTTTTCTATCCTATATATGCAATCTTTGGACAGTTTGCTTCATTGAGAAAGAAGATGAAGGGGAAGTGAAGATGCCTTCAGCTCACCCCTGAAGAGGGGAACCCTTGCAGCGCATCGTGCGGAGCTGGCTCCCGCAGGGCCCAGGCTGGGCACCAGCGGGCTCTGGGCTGCTGCGTGCCCCCGCTCCGGGCGCAGAGCAGCTCGGGTGGGACTGGCTGCATGGGACGTGCCTCCTCCCGTGTTTGCTGTGCCATTTTGAAAAGGTTCGTGGAAGCCAGATGCACATGATAATTCCTAGAGCTCGTAGGGAGGGAGAATAGCGAGAAGGGTGTGCTGATTTTTCCCTTAGCTATCACCTCTAGGACAGTAAGTGGAAGCTTGCAATCTCCTCCCACTGTCCTTCAGAGACCTTTTTCTCCCCTTTTCTGCTGAATCCCTATTTGCCATGTTTTGTTTTGTTTTGTTTTTTCTAGAGATCCAAATGGTATTTTGCTTTCATTTTCCTTCCAGTGCAGACTTCTTTCCCTTTTTGAGGAGACCCCAGTCTCTTTTGCTGTTTTGTGGTAATCAGGGTACTCGCCTTTCTTCCTCCTTTCTTCCAGTTATCTCAGGTCTCTGTATTTACTCTTCATAGTCCAGTTCTTTGGCTCTTTTCCCCCCCCCCATCTGAAACCTGTTTCTCCTCTCTTTTCCTGTCTTTCATGCAGCTCTGT